TGGGCTTACATATTTTGTGCTTATCTGTTGGACTCTAAAAAGCTGTTGCGTTTAATTACTCATTTCTCAGAGCATTTATTAATCATTTATTAGCTCTTTGTTCATTTGCCGTAGATGTAACTTGACATATGAAGTGAGCCCAGTCATTTCATAACCAAGCACGTCTCAGGAGGAGGAAAGCACTGAGTGATAGGGAAGGCCTTACTCATCTTGGCACATGGTGGTACAGCTCTAGTTGGGGCCTCTGTTACTTAAGAAAGTGCCAGAATATAAACACTGTTATTAAATATATATATACTTTTAAAGATATAAAAATTATATTGTATATATTATATAATTCTATATTAATTGTAGTAATAAATAAAATTATATGTAGAAATTATATATAGAAATTATATATGTATTTATGTAAATTATATATGAAATTTTAATGTTTAAATAATATATTTTAAAAATCTGTATTTATATATAAGTATATTATATATATAAGTATATTCTATATATAAGTATATATGTAAGAATACAAGTATATTTTTTATATATATGTATATATATAATGTATAAATATGAGTGCCTTAAGCTGCCCCATCACCTGAAGTATCCGAGGCACTGATGAATTAGGTGACAGCTGCATATTGGACTGGAGATTTATGACTTTGTTTTATCACTGTCAAGCCTGCACAGCCATTCTCTCTCTGTGAATGAACCTTTCCTGCTCCTCAGCACCCAGTGTGAGTGTCAGAGCTGACAGTGCTGCACCTTTCCCTCTTCTCCTTTGCTWAATGGGGCAGGAGAATGGTGTTTGGGTTCTCCTGCCCACCAGCTGAATTGAGTATTTAGGAGACAAAAAGCCCCTCTTTAGTACCCAGAGGTGTCAAATATGTCCAGGGTGGTCACCTCTTGTCCTTTATCCCTTGCTCTCAAAGTCACCCAAAAAAAACATCAGAGGAAAATCCTGAGTGTTCGGAACTGCTGACCACAAATCCCAGGATCAGAGAGCTTCAGGGARCACCAAAGGGGTTCTTGGAAGAACCACAGCACTGGCTGAGTGGTTTCCTCAAAGACTTACAGGCTCTGCCAAGGGGAATCAGGGTCAGATTTCTGCCAGGTGGTTCAGTTTCCCTATGACTGATACCAGAAAATAAAGAAACCTTTATTTCCTTGTAGCAAGAAACCTTGATTTCCATATCGAAATATTTCTTTACCTTTATTTTCTCTTCGAGTGACATTTCTCTTCTCTGTTGCCCTTTTCAAGGAGAGCAGCACAGCCAACAGCAAAACAGCCACTGTCAAACAAACAACCCCACCAAAAACCCACCTGCCTGAGACATGAATGTCTCTATTCTGTCATTATGAGAAGGAATTSTAAGGCCCAAGATCATCTCAACCAGCTTGAAACATCTTAATAAAACACCTAATCCAGGCAGGTGTTTCTTTTTTGCTCCAGTCAATGGGGTAAGGAAGCTCTGAGAGCTGAAGAGGAGACATTTTATAAATGCTGTTGCTTCTTCTGTCCATAAAAAAGCATCTCAGCCCACCTGGGTTTTAAATTGCTTTTCAGGCTTTCCTAATGAATGTCTCGGAATATTTGCAAGTCTTTTGTTTGCCCTCAATATGGGGAAAAGCTTAAGTCAACAAGTTTTTATTTGATTTGTAAATAATGCCAGAGTGACACTTTATTACGGATTCCCAGAACTCTGACTCCATGTCTTATCCTCCAGATATGACATGCCACAGACATCACCAGAGACAGGCTAGGGGACAGAAATYAAAATAATTTTGAGGAAAGACCATMTAGAACTTTAGCCTGTACYTCTGTTTAGCCCACAAACCATCAGGAGCTGCTGAAATAATTGCTTTGGACAGATAATAAAACATTCTCCAGCAAAAGTAAGGTATTTAATATACTGCTCAAGTCAATTTCCCTTATTTCTGCTGTCCTCTTGCTTTTAATAGTGGTTTAATGAAAAATTCAGAATTAATTGAAACTGGCATTAGACATTCACGTGTTCCAGTGAGGATTTCAGTGCTTCAATATTTCATAAGCTGACTTCACTGCTATCCTTCTCYTTATCCTACTTTCATAGGCTAGGATATCATTCCTCTTCATAAAATGAAGGGTCCCAGTGTGGGCAGATGGGGGGGACGTGAGCAAAGTTTGCAGCCACATCATAGGCAAAGAAATAAAAATAATAGCTGCTTCTTCCTGCCACCATCCCCCCTTGCTGTCTAATGATTTACATCTGAGCCTTGATGGGAAAGAGCTGTCCTAAAAATAAACAGGATCTGTCTGAAAGGTGTCTGAGGGAGGTATTTGGCAACTGTCAGGCTGTCACGTATGCCAGAAGGATGGAGCTGATGGACTGGCTGACACCAGACAGGYTCTGCTGAAATGAGAGTGCCTTCTGCTCCCCTTGGCACTCACCGGGCAGATTCTGCTGGCCAGAGCYGTGAGCCCACGGTGTGTCTGGGGCTTGTTCCAGGTCTGGCTGCCRTCAATGAGAGTCTGCCCTTGGATGGCACTGGCAATTGGATCAGACCTTTGCTGTACCCCTGAGACTCTGGCTTTACACCAGGGTAAACTTTGGCTCCCTACAGGAATGTCACCCCCACGGAGAAGGAATCACCAGGCCCTGGCCTTGAGAGTTTCTGCAGATCTCTGAAAAKGAGACCCCTCACTGAGATACCTGGATATGGGGACCAGAGCCTGACCTTCTGCTTTTTCTTGGTTACAAAATAGCTTTGTATATAATGATCTTGACTATTATTGTATTGTATTATATTATAATGAAATTATAATTGTATTATATTATGATATTGAATTGTATTGTCTTGTATTGTATTACAATTAAATTACATTATTGTATTGTATTGTATCATATTATTATATAGTATTGTATTATACTGTATTATATCATATTATTCTATTCTATTCTATTCTATTCTATTCTATTCTATTCTATTCTATTCTATTCTATTCTATTCTATTCTATTCTATTCTATTTCTTTGTATATAATAATCTTCGTATATAATAATCTTCGTATAAAATAATCTTGAAGACAGTACAACACCACCCCTATCAGAGATGGAAAAACTGAAGGAAAAACTATTTTATAACCAAGAAAAAGCAGATATTTTCTTCAAAATTATTGGCATATTTGTAGATTCAGGCATTCCTAAAAGCTCCTAGTCCATGACTGAACTCAGTTCTGGTTTCTCACAAGGTGTTTGATGAAGGTGTGTTACACCATGCTGCAGTCMGGAGGTGAGCAAACAGAAACACAAGACATGACGTGACTCACCTCAAACCTTTGAAACGACTCAGTGGCAGAGCAAGGACCTAAGAATTCTGGACCCCGCCAAAACAATCATACCTTTGGAGTGACCCAAGCTGAAAAGAAAATGTTCTGAGTGGAAACTGCGGTTCTTCTCGACTCCACAGGGAAATCTCYGCTGCCTGGGGTGTAACTGAAGAGATTTGCTGGTGTTCTTGGCAGATAAAATGTGCTGGGGAGGGAAAAGGGAGGTGTGGGAGAAAGGTGGAAAGCTCCYTGTTCCCCCATGGGAGAGTGGACACTTCTTTTATTCTCAAAGGGAGCTGACTGCTGCCATATCTGAAAATCAGASTCTTTTGTTACCTACTGGGCAAGAGCAGCTCCTTTTGAGTGAAGAGCAGACCCTGAACTCAACTGTCCTGCAGTGCTTTGGTCTGAAAATCCCGGTCTGTATTGAGAAGAATGGCCCAGGGAATTAACTCCTGTAATATGGTCTGCAGGAAGTTGCCTACAAGATAAGAAGGTGACTTGATCTTTTTGAGAAAAAGAGAAAAAAAAAAAAGGCTTCCTTATCTTCATGACGTTTGCTCTGAAGTGTCATCTTGTGACTGCCTTGCAGGATCAGTGAATTCCAGCCGGGTCCTGTGGCTGACATCAATTCTGTCGTATTTCCCAAACTGATGCTTCAAGGCCTCGGTGGTGCTGATCCCGCTCACGTGTCGGGCAGGATACGATCAGCCCCGCAATTAAACATGGATCTGAAAGGAAGAGGAAATCAGGATGATGAAGCAGCGAGGAGGAGCACGTGTGAGTCAGGATCAGATAGCTGAGGGTGTGATGAGCAGTGAGTGAGTCCTACTTGTTCTGTAGGGTCTCAGATTGTTTGTGAGCAGGAATTGCAGATCTCCCGGGGGAATCTGCATGAGGGATGTTCACACAGCTCATCAGGGTGCTCTGGCTTTCCTCTGTGAGGAATTTGTCACTATGCAGCTGTACTTTTCTTCATTCAAATGGCAATATTAAATAGCTGTGAGGCTGCTAAATGCCTGCTTTGCTAACTGATCTTCTCCCCCAGCTGGCAGCTTTTTAAAGCAGGAGACACGAAGTTACTAAACCCATTCATTTCTCACATGCACCCACGTTTCTAATGTCTGTGGAGATTCAAAGTCCTCTTCCAGCCATTGGAATGAAGAGCACTTTGTGAAGCCATTGTAATTATTATGGGATTTAGGGGTGTGTGGAAATGATTCACCGAGATGTTTCCCAGCCAGCAAGGCTCATGGAGCCAGGTGAAGCTCTTCCCTGGAATGTCAAGCATGCAGCGTGGCAACTGGGAGGAACAGGTTTGGCAGGACATTTTTAAGTTGTTGGAGGCAGGCAGCYTTTTCAGAGCCACATCCCTGCTCTGCCGATCTCCCAACTGGATGCTCTGCTCTTCCCTGGCGAGCTGGAGAGGATGGACACGCTGCGGAGGAGCCTCTCTCGATGGAAGAGGTACCACATTAAGGTGCATTTGGCCGATGAGGACCTGATGATGCCCTTGACGGTCAGACCCAGGGACACGGTGATGGACCTTCGSGCTCTCTTGGTACGGGAGGGCGTCACTTCCTGGAAGAAGACATTTTATTACAACTCCAGGCAGCTGGAGGAGCACGAAACTCTCAAAGAAGCCAATATCCAGAATGGTTCTGTCCTCCTTCTTGTCAGCAGTAAAAGGTAGGCGAGGAGCTCGTCTGCAGTGGGGGCGGTGCAGAGGAAGGGGAATGCTCGGTGGGTTTTGGCCCCTTGGGATCTTTTCTTGTCGGGATTTGCAGAATGCAAATCAGGAATTCAGATCCTGCCATTTCCAGCGGGATTGAGATGCCAGGCTCTCCATTTCCAGCCATGCTGGGCTGTGAAATAAGCAGAGAGGAGGAAATCTGGTTGCTGCTCCCTGTCCTGTTTCTGATTATGTCTCGTTTTCCTGGATGTGAGGCCTCTCCAGAGGGAGAGACATGACAAAAAAAAGGGCAGGGGAGATTGTGTGACCTGGGAGAGTGTTCTGGGACCCTCAGTCGTCCTTTTCTGCTGTGCCTGTGTGTCCCCACTTCTTTGCAGTAAATACTTCCTGCACTGCTGTGGCAGAGAAGAGCTGCACAGCTCACAGCAAAGCACCAGGAGTGCTGGGCAGGGATGGCCAGAGGCTGCAGCTGCCCAAAATGTGTCTGAATCACAGCAAAAAGCACCGTGAGACTCCCAGGAGAGCCAGTGCATGGGAGATCAATCACGGCAAGCACTAAAGTCCAGTGGGGATGAAAGCTGAGATAATGGACCTGGGACTCGCTGGCCCACAGGACAGTTTTGATTCACTGAGGTGAATTTATGCCCACCTGCACTGTCTTTCCCAATGCCTGCTTGCTGCTGCCAGCGTGATTAATTCTGTGAAGCATTTTGGGGATMCTGGGGAGAAGAGGTGCACGGGTGTGTTATGTCTAATTCATCTTTCTAAATCCTGAGCTCTGTGAGTTACGTGCCTCTGCTGATCAGAGTTTCCTCTGCAGAAAAACCTGCACTAAAGACTTCAGTTCCTGATTATATGCCTCATACTGGAATGGTCCTATTTTCCAGTCCAGAGGCAGCTTGAAATCTCACACAAAGAAGATTTAATAAAGCATTTCCTTTCAGAGCTCAGCCAGACACCAGAGATTTCACAGCACTCAGCTAACTGCAAACCCCAGGTCACCCATGGCCCCTTTCTCCAACATCTCATTTCAGTTCTCTGATTAACTTGGCTCAGCTCCTCCTTTTCACCTTTTTTTTATGATGGCAGGACCACTTCTATTTGTTGTTGTTCCCGGCGTTTATTTTMCTAATTTTTACAATCTGAATTTTTGAGAGTAAAAAAGGATTTGGAGGGTCTGAGATGACGGAGTGCACATATTGATGGTTGTTTGGTGGATGCTGTGCACCATTCCACATCCTCCAAAAGCAAATGCAAAACTCATCAGGAGATCCTGCCCCGGTGTGCGGAGTTCACTGGCCAGTTTTGAAAATCAAAAACCTGTTGCTCAATTTTTGTGAGTTCATTAAAAAGGGAGTGGGATTTTATGATATTTTTTTCCTTGGATTTCCTGGAAACCTTCCTGGTTCCTAAAAAAGCACCTTTGGCCAATCTCCCATTGTTTTTTCCAGGGCTGGGTGCAGTGTGGGGAGTGTCCAGTCTCCACCTGCAGTCACGTCTCCTTGATTTTTTTTTTGACATAAAGGATTATTGGGTCGTGCCAACCTCAGCCTCTCCCATAAGGTTTTGTGTGGCTGTAAATGCCCCGATAGTGGGGACACATTTCTCAAAAGGCTGAGCTRTGGTAGGATAGTTCTTTTTGATATTTCTGAGCTCCTGTGTGGCTGGGCAGTCACCGCCCTTCGTGGGGCAGTCCAGGCTGTGACTCAGCACCTTGCAGGTTTTCAGCAAGCACAGAGAGGTTTTAGAGGATTTTAGATTCCTGTCTCTCGCTGCTATTGGGACTTTTGAAATACAGAGTGGGAGAAGGCTGCGTTGTAACTGAAATTACGGTACTGATTTGAGCCTTCAGGTTACTCAGGCAGATCTTTAGGTGTTATAAATCCATGTTCCACCCAGAGTGACTTTGGAAATACACTGCTCTATGTCAGCTGGGCAGCAGTGAATAACCATGGGGACTATAACAAGAGCAGCACATGGTGTGTTGGGACTGCCACAGAAGCAGAGAAAACATTGGATTCCAGAGTTGGTTTTAGTGTTTCTTCAACTCTGAAATGCTCAGCACTAAATGCAATATGGAAGTGAAGTATGGACCCTCTCCATCAAAGCCAAGCACCTACTTCTTCTGCTCTCCCTGAAAACCTCGGTGTCTCCTCCTTGCTCTTTTGTACCSAGGTACCAGCCAAGCAGAGCGATATTAATTCCGAAAGTGGAGTTGCTGTGATTGCCAAGGTCTGCAGCTCGGTGTCGTGCCTATAAATATTAATGGTCACTCTGCATGCTGTGTGTTCCTGCAATGGGCTCACGGGACAGCTTGCTTTGAACCAGAGAAAACATGAAAATGACCCTATTTTTCATCCTCCCCTCCCCACTTAATGCCTTTGTAGATAATTGGCATTTAGCAAAGGCCAAGTCAGCATTTCCACTTCTTCTCGCTCGTATTTTCTGGGGTTTCTAACTTAGTCATAAAAATTCACTTAAGGCGGCAGCTTGGCAGGAAAGGGATCAGCATACCAGCTAACGCTGAAAATTTATTTGGACCTTGACGTTTAAAAGTTCGAGCAAGCCATTTTGGAGATCAGTCAACATGACCTCTCGCCCTGGGAAAACACATGGTTTGGCCAGAACTGTGAACAGCACATCCACCTAGGATGCAGTTCCTTTTTGTGCACAGCCTGTTAATCACATTACTGCTGTGCTGACTGAAATTGCAATCCTGTTGCTGCAGAGGCTGAGCAAAGAACTCACTGCAAAAAAAAAAGCTTTCTGCCCTAGAGAGTGACATATTACAACAACACGGTTTGCCAGTGGGTGAAACAAGCAAAGCAAGAGTTGAAATGGGAACGAACAAGCAGAGAAATGCCCCGGCTCRGTGGATGCGGGCCAGCATGTGATGTTCACGCCATCGGTGCCCATCAGGAGAGCAGAACATGAGCAGAACACCCAGCAGAGCACCCAGCACGGATATARACTCATCCATGGGCACGCAACAGGCGGTCCCAAGCGCCTGAGGTGTGATCAGTGCTGGCACCGTGGACCAGCCGCGGCAGAACCCGTTTGGCTTGCTCTGGAGGCGGCGTGGGGCCCCAGAACCAGGAGCTGCTCRGCTGGTCTGGTGGCCATGTGGGAGGGAGTTCCTGAAACTGGCACGGCTCTTCCCGAGCTCTGTCTGCTGCAAAGAGCACCCAGAGGTTCTGCTGAGGAGCACCCATYGATGAAGCCACCCATGGGACAGCGAGCAGCAATTTTTTTTCCTGCAATTTTCGTGGATAGGAGAGAGACATTTAAGTTAATATCCTGCTGAAGGAAAGGTAATGACTCCCTGTCTATTTTGGGATGTAAAAGTCTCTTCTTGCTCCTTCTGTGCTGGACATTRGGCACATGGAATCAGCTGCTCCTCRCCGGTCATTTGGCGTTTTGCTGTTTGCTGGGAGATGGAGGAATATGGAACTGGTGAATCCACCCCTTAACCCATGAGCTGCTTCAAACAGGGTGATCCAGAACAATCCCTGGATGTGCCCACTGTGCCCGTTCCAGCTTGATCTGCATGTGGGGAAGGACAATGGCACTGACAGAGCCTGTGCACTCAGTCTGTCCTTTGCAATCTCCTCTAGCAGTCACCCAGGCAAGGTCTGTGCTAATAAATTAACCAGTGCTCAGATTTCTCTCTGTAACAATGCCATTTTTGGCTCAGTCCAGGTGCGTTTCAGGACTGCTCTTTATGGGATGCCTGGATGTGCTCGTGCAGGTTTGGAGAGTAAGAATTCCGCTGGAAAACCTTATCCATCCTGTGCCAGCTGTCCTGTTAATGCAGGAGAAAGTCCCAGGCACATTTGATTTACTGGCACAGGCTCAGCCACAGGACATGGGTCCCCTCAGCCTTTTGGAAGCTGAGGTTCATTGAGGCCATGCAGCTTTTTTCATCACCTACTGCTTGCCCRGAGAATGGAGTTCAGGAAGTCATTGGTGAATAGGTTAAATAAAGTAGATGCCAGCTCCGAGTTCAGTGGAGTCTATTATCTGGAATCTATTGGTGTTGATTTTCTGGCCTGGAGCCACCTGAAAGCATCTATCTCACGGCATTAGCTCAGTTACCATAACAACTCACCCAGGAGCAACTCCTGACAGCTCCAAGAGCAGACCAAGGTCCCACGTGGYAAATCGTAGCCACTCTTAGGTCAAAATAAGCATGTCCAGGTTTCTCCCTTTCCTGCAATCCCATCTCAGCGTCCCTGGTGAGCGCCAGTCCTTTACAGAAGCTTTGACATGCTTGGGAGTCTGTTTTATTCTTCAGAGGCTGTTCAGCCTGGTTTTCCAAATGTCCCTCCACTCACGGATGGATATTTTGCCTCCTGCCAGAATAACAAACCCATCCATCCTCGGGGAACCTGTTGTGTTCCCTTACTGACATTTGGTTTACAGTCTCTGATTTTTTGGAATTGTAAATGAAAACTGTGGCTGARGAATCGTAAATGAAAACTTGCCCAAGGTCTGGTTTAGCTGATGCTGAACTCCTGCCTGTGTTTGACTGTGTGGTGATGTCAGGACCAGTGACAGACACTCGGCAGTGGCTCACTCCAGAGTCCCATCCCAATCCTATCCCCCCTGCTCACTGTCACCAGAATCACTGGGAAGCAGTCACCAAACACAGCAGGTGACCTTGGAAGTCCAGGAACCAAAAAAAAAACCCTAATGGCATCTACAGTTTACCCCTGAAAGCTCAGCCCTGAAATAAGTCCTTTACTCTGGATTTTGCTGTGATTTTGTGACTCCTGCTCTTTGCCCTGACCCTCCTGCTCCTGGGGTTGCTCAGCAATTACTCCTCAGCATGGAGGGGACACTTTTTCACCCCCATCCAAGTTTTGCAGCCCTGCCCTGTTAAGCTGAGGCCCAGCAGCAGGCTCCGAGGCACCTCGCAGCGGGATAACGATCCTTTAAATAGCGCTGGGAGTCTCTCTTCTCAGGGAGAACTAATTAAGCTCTTCAGTACATGCTTAGACATATGCTGACCTGGGATGGCCTTAACAGGCCCGCTCCCACCTACTGGATAAATAATCCTGGCTTAAAAATATCCTCCTGGAGATGTGTTACTGAGGCAACAGCCAGGTGGGGGGCTGACTGCATCTCTGCGTGCTCGTGTGCCTTACTCACAGGCCAAGCTCTTGGTTAAGTGATTTTTTTTAAGTTCCAAAAGCCAGGCCAGACTGTCACACCTGTGTTCAGCTCATTTACTCATTTCTCAGCCTGAGAAGCTCATTTAACAAAAACGTGATGGAGAATTGCATCATTGCATCGGTGGAGAGCGTGGTCCAGAGGATCTGAGTTCCTCCCTGCACAGATAAAACTGAGCTCAGGTGTCCCCTGGGGATCTGTCTTGACTCTAGGCAAAGAATTAATGAATGGAAAGTGCATCCTAAATGAGGATTCTTTCTGGTGTGATGTGGCCCAGCTTCCTGGGCTTCTCTGGGGTTGGTCTGGTTTGTACCAGGTGAAGATTGTGCCCAGTTGGGATAAATCCCCTCTCCTGTGTCGTGGTGTTTTATGGGGTGGATGTCCTGCAGGGTGGGCTCACAGCAARCCCTTGGCTATCAAAATCCCCTGAAATTTCAAGTGAAGAAGCAAGATAAAATATGAATTCTGGGTTCTACAGAAAACTCAACCACTGCCTGGTATCAGCCTCACAAAAACTTCCACCCTGCAGACTTTGTAATTCTCTAAGACCTGATGAAATYTGTTATAAATGGCAAAAATAATTGCAAACAGCAATTCACAGGAGTCCAAAGGCTCAGCCCTGCTCTTTTGGTGTGGTGACTGCCTGGTGGAGTTGCTGTAGGCCATAAAAACCTTGGTTGCAGTTCTAGGTAGGATCATGAGCCCTCCAAGCAAATCCCAAGTCCTGAAGAGGTACCCCTACAAACTTGGGAGAGCTTTGGTCTCTGTTCTGGAGTGATTTCTAGGGGTTTTCAGAGGAGCAACTTAGAAAATAATTCTACTTTTGCCAAGTTTAACCCTTCCATGTAGGTTCTGTACCCCCCTGTCAGAAAATGCTGATGGACCTGGAACCCCAGAAAGTCACCACTTAGTGCTGATGGATGTGTTAGTGCCTGAGGATGGATGTGTTGAGAGCAATTCAAGCTCTGTCTCACTGCAAATATTCTCAAAATGCTCCTAAAGCTGCAGATGGCCCTTGTTCTAGGATTAAAAAATGGATTTCCAGTAACAGGCACCGAAGAGGAAGAGCCTTGCTTGTGAGAAAAARGCTTCCAGGCAGTTTTGGGTTGTCTGAAGGAGGGTGAAAGCATCTTTTGTGGAAGGATAAAGAGGTTTGGAACCCTGCAAGGGGCTTATCCTCAGTTAAATTGTGACTGGAGAGCAAAACTGGAGAGCAAAACCAGTCAGGGGAGGTTTGYATTCTCCACACTTTGGGGTGATCAAATCCCTTTTTCACTGCMTCTCTGTAGATCCAAATATTTCCCTTTTCCTTGTTCAGATAATGCCAGAGAGCACAGCCAAAGCCATGAGAGACGGGGAGTGTGACAAGGGCTGAAGGGAAGCAGACAGAGGAGGAGAGCTTGGCCATGGAAAGGCAGCTCAGCCACCAGCCTTGGTAAGTTCCTTCCTTCACACCAGCTCCAGGGCTGCTCACAAAACAGCTCCAAAAGTGTTCTCAGCACGGTGCCCATGAATAATTAACCCAAACAAAACAACAAATAGCGTTTCCTCATCTGCCATGTGGTTCTGGGAGCGTGGTGGGACTGACTCAGCTCCTGAGGGTCATGAAATAGTGGAATGCTCAGGAAAAGGGATTTCTGCTGGGGGGATGGAGAGAGAAGGAGKTCATTTTACCTCTTTTTTAGGTTTTTTAGGGCCCTAAATGGGTYCATGGGACATCTGAGCCTCCTCCTGACTCAGGACTCTGTTCTCAGCATTCTGCAGTCAGTTGCTGAGCTTGGCCTTTGTTTTCCTACATGTGAGATAACAATTTTCCCCTTTTCACCCTGTCCATCCAGCTGTAAATCTTTCCTACATGTGAAATAATAATTTTCCCCTTTCACCCTGTCCATYCAGCTGTAAATCACTCAGGTTAGGSACTGTTCTGTGTTTTATACAAAACCCAATCAGAGCTCCAGAACAATTTCTTTACAGTGGAGCCCCATTTCCAGATTAAAGGYTGCATACACCAAATAAGTGATAAATGCCCTGGAGACAATCCTGGAGGTTTTTCCASGACAGATCTTGGCAGCTTTTGTGTATCCAAAGGACAGGGACTGGTTTGTCTCTGTTCCCACCTCCCCTGATCTCAGGGACCCACAAATACCCCAAAACTGCCCCATTTTTGAGCCGTGAGCCTCCTTATGTTCTTCTTCCCTGCTTTACCCCGCTCCAACAACTTCTGAACCAGCTGACCTCATTCGACCCAATCTGATGGAAACAGAGAGGTCTCACAGCCCCAAAATTCCTGCAATTTTCATGAACAAACAGCAGCTGGATAGGAGAGAGACATTTCAGTTAATATCCTGCTGGAGGAAAGGTAATGASTCCCTGTCTATTTTGGGATGTAAAAGACTCTTCTTGCTCTCTGTCTATTTTGGGATGCAGCAGCCAGGTGACCAGCTGGCATTTAGMTATGGCTGGGCAATCAGTTCCTGCCCAGCTTCAAACCAATCCCCTGCACTTGCAACCCTTTCCCTGCAAAGTAAAAAGCTGCTGGARCAGCCAAGGATTTCTCTGGGAAGGTCTGGAGGGCATCAGGTGCCCTGAGGRTATCGCAGCAAGCTGGGAACACCAAAAAAGGAGGAAATAAAACCAGTTGTAATACACAAATCAGAGGAAGAACGGGTTTCACCAGTTCCCTACTCACAGAACAAGTTGATTTTTAGGTTCAAACTTATTTTCAGGGATAAAAAAAGGATGTTTTACTAGTTGCAACAGTATTTTCCCCAGAAAATTCCATTGACTGGAAACTGTCCTACCAAACTGTCCTACCAAACTGTCCCACCAAATCTGCATTTTCTGTTTCACAACTGACTTTTTTTTTGGCCACACAAAACCATTTGATTCTATTTTTCTGACACAAACATTTGGCAAAATGCTGTGAGGAGCAGAATTTTTCGTTTTCCCTTTCCCGAAGAACACAATATCCCCCCGAATACATTTCACAAAAACGGATTTTAAGACAAAAAAACGTGAAGCTGAAGATCTTTCAGCTGGGTTGGGCAGAGAGTGGGATGGGGCTGAGCRTGGGAAGCAGAAATGTGACTTTTCCAAGGTCACAGGAGCTCAGTTGGGTCAGCATTTCTGCCACTTGACCAYGCGGCGCCTCCGTCGATCCCGAAATAATGAATTTCTTGGAGCGGGGCCAACACTTTCCTGAGTGCTTGGAAAATGCCTCACACGGCCCCAGGTTTAGCCATAAATAATAATTAAAATGATGATAATAATGATATTAAAGTGGATGATGGGACACRCTGAGCTGCCGAGTCCTAAATCCGTGCCCCTTGTCTAGAGGAAGGTACATTTTGCTTCACAAAGCCTGGCAGACAGGATTTGCTTCCCTGGAATTGATAATCACAGTCTTTTGCTCTGCAAAAGGCAAACTGACCYGAGCTGAATTAGGTCCAGTATCTATTCTAACACCTCCTGCCTGCAGCTGGCAGCTCTGGGCAGCTCTGCAAGGCTTTTTTGCAGCTCAGGGGGATATCTGGAAAGACTAAATTAACCGTGGTGGTGTGGGGAGCTGCCTGGACTAATGTTTTTTTTTTTTTTTTTTCAGAGATAGGCTTTGATTGACACTTCAAATCTGCCTGACAATCTTTTATTCTAAGCGCAGTTGCTGCCTTTCTTCAGAGCAGGAAGAGCTGGTTGGGTTGCTGTCCTTCAAATGATGCATCTTATCATGGGAAAAAGTAGGAAAAAAAAATCCACAAACCACCTAGAAAGAACTACAGGAGCAGCATAAAAAGAGGTAAAATGAGCTGGATCTGTTTGAGGTATTTCTCCTTTTTTTCCTCTGTGCCATAATCCAATGCCAGACACTTGAAAATGGGCAAAATTGGTTGCTGTCCTTCAAATGATGCATCTTATCATATGTGAGAAAGTAGGAAAAAACCCATAAACTGCCTAGAAAGAGCCACAAGACCAGCATAAAAAGAGGTAAAATGAACTGGATCTGTTTGAGGTATTTGTTTTTTTTCCTCTGTGCCACAGACACTTGAAAACGAGGGCTGTGCTCTGAGGAACAAGAACTGCTTGGTTTTTTTTTGCTTGGTTTGCCTGTTCATTATGTCGTTGTTTCCTGCAAGAGATTTCTTTGATGCTTTGCTGGGAGAACTGTGCAGCTCTCTGGTGCTGAGAGAAACCTGGAATGTTCTGAGCTGGGAGGGACCTGCAGGGATCATCCAGTGCCACTCCTGGTGCTACAAAGGAGACCCCAAAATCCCACTCTGAGAGTTTCAGAAGCTCTGGTGCCCATTCTCTGGGGATCCTGGGCACACTGTGGGGACAGAAAAACCTTTCCCTGAGATCCATCCCAAATCCCTCTGACACAGCTCCAGCTGTTCCATAACATTTCCAGACCCAGGACTGAGAAGACAGAGGCACAACCTCTTTTACTCACTGGTTTTACTCTGCCTCTTCTACCTGTCCTCCCCGTGCAGCCTCTTACTCCGAGTTGCAGGGATTTTTAATGTTTGCTAAATTGTGGGATTACAGCACTCAGCCTCTCTCAGAACAGGAGGAAGCCCCTTTTCTGTAGTATAATTCAGACATTTGGGGTTTACCTGAGTCTGGCCAAGAAGATCAGATTAACAGATGGGCAGAGGAATGCTTTGAATCCTCTTCTGGGCACTCCTAGGTAGAAAAATTGATTTTTAAATTTTTTTTTTTTTGAAATGTCCTGTGTCCCTTTCTCTTCTAAACCAGCCAAGCTCTTTAGGGTTTTGCTTTTCTGCAAAAGGCAAGCTAACCTGAGCTGGGTGAGATTGAGCATCTCCTCTAACACCTCCTGCCTGTARCTGGCAGCTCTGGGCAGCTCTGGAAGGCTTTTTGCAGCTTGGGAGGGATCTCTGTAAAGTCTAAATTAACTGTGGTGGTGCTGCCTGGATAGCAGAAAAGCTGCTGACAGTGAGAACTGCAGTGAAATGGCTGTTTCCCTTGTTCTCTGTGAACAGGACAAGACCAAGGACCAGCCCTGGAAGATGTTTTAGGTCCCTCTGTGTGACAATCTCAGTGAATTGTGAGATGGAGAAGCTGCTCCGTGGATGGGACTGCTGCTGCTTGGGACTGTTTCCATTTGGGATCCTGCTGCTGATGGGGCATCCCAGRCAGGATTACCCAAATCCCTGCTGGTTATCTCCACCCAGCAGCAGCTCCTGCTCTTGAGCTTTGTGAGAGAAGACAAGCCCAGGCAGATCATCTCTAGAGCTTGGGCTGGGGTGAGTTTCTGTGGCTCTGCCGTGCTCCTCCTGTGCCTGAGACGTGGATCCATCAAATATTTCAGTTTCCAGGGCCTGGCAGCTCTCCTGGGCACTAAATTGCCTCCTTAAAGTTGCATCAGTGTCGCATCCAGAGGGAACAGAGGAACCGATGTATCTCACAAAGTCTGGCTTTAATTCACCTGCCTGGTTTAATTTGCTGCCCTGCCTGCTGATCAATGACTCTGCACTGGTGGCTGTGGGAATACCGAGGTTTTTCCATCTCCAGGAGAATCCAGCACAGTGGCTGAGCTCTGGGCTCTCCAGCAGGCTGTGTCACATCWCTTTTGGGGCTGTTTCATCACAGATTTCCCTCCCTCAGAAGCACTTGCAGACCTTTTCCAGCCCATGGTCACTGCATCTCATTTCCTCGCAGGCCCAGCTGTGTCACATCAGCCTGGGCACAATTTCCTTCTGGAAGTGCTCTCCTCCAAGGATTCCTCCCCGAGGCCTTGCTTTTTGGGATCACAACGCTTCATTCTGGGCTCTGTCCCTCCCAGAGCTTCCAGGGGGACCAGCAGAGCCTGGCAGGGGCTCTTTTCATCCAGCTGTCCCCTCTCCAAGAACTCTGCCACCATCTCAGCTCAGCAGTGCTCTCAGATGCTGCCTCAGACACTGAAGGCTGTCAGGAAGCACCAGTGAAAGGGATTTTTGCTTTTTAAAGCAGATTTCCCCCATCCTGTGGGGTTTTTTTTGGGGTTCCTATTAATTGCTCTGTTRCTTAATCAGCCGGTGTCAAAGTCCTGGGAGACAGCAAGGCTGCTTTTGCCTGGGAATATCTATTTTGTGACCCTGCTGCTTCACCTCACGTTTTATAATCTGTACCAGATTGCTCTTTGCCTGCTAAAACGGACAATTAAGATCCGGCCATAACGCAAATTGCGCGGTGGAATAAAAACCAGCGGGCAGCAAAATCCCCAATAAACCGTTACCTCAGCCTTTGTGACGGCTTCAACTCTGCTCCTGCTCTCTGGAGGATCAGGAGGAGAGAACCTGTTGGGTGCTTTTGTGTTTTGAAAACACGAGGTGGATGTAAGTCTGCCTCAAAAATGCGTGTGTGTGTGTGTTCAAACCTAACAGATCCCGCCTACGCCGGGAATTCGATGATTGCCTTGTTTTTCCAAGGCTCTRTTTTTTTTTTTTTTTATATACTACAGGCCAAACTCGTGGGGTAATTGCCAGTCCCTGCACGGGGCTGAGATGCTGAAATTTCAGGCTGAAATTTCAGAACGTGCYCCTAACCCTGATGGCCTTGTCGTTGCGGCGCTGTCGTTTTTATCGTGTTCGGTGCTAAATGTTGTAAATGAAGAGAAATGTTTTGGGTTTGTAAAAGGAATCTAAATTTGCTGTGGAATTAAACACACAGGAGCCTGAAAAGTCAAATGAAAGAGCTCTGTCTTCATTTCAAATGGCAAGGCACGGCGATATTTTGTTGATATAGCTGCTTTTACTGCAGATCTGCTTTGCATTTCCCCGGGTAACAAAGAACGAAGCTGGATGTTTTTTCATCTTTGAGAGGGTGGAATATCCGCATTTATGAAGTGTTAGAGCTGCCAGCCAGGAGGTCAGTGTTGTAAAGGTCACCTTAGAGCTTGTGCCCTTCCTGTGGKATCCAAAATGAGAAAAATTCCTGTTGATATCTCATGGAAACGGTGTCTTCCAGAGGACAGCGAGGAACGAGCGTGAGAGGTGGTGGAACCAGATGGATGAGCTGAGTTCAAAGCCCTCCTAGAAGCTATGGCAACATAACTTGTGTATCTACTCAGCAAAGCTTTTGCAAGCGCCATAAATGACTTTAAATGGCCTTATTTTCCTGCGAGCAGTGAAATCAGCAGCTTCAACGGGGAGGAGTAAATCCACTTGATTACACATGTTGCTGGAAATAACCCTCTTATTGGTTATTACTAATAACCCAATCTATTACTGACCAGGCAGCCAGGGAATAACCCAGCTGCTCCTAAAATTCCAATTCCAGCAGAAYGAGGGGAGTCAGGAGGGTCTCAAGGGAGGAAACTGAGCAGGAAGCAAAGTCAACACGGAGCATTTTGGGTACAATGTGGGTGATAAATTAAAGGTATCGGGGCCAGGGCTGTGTTTTGAGGAGGATTTTTGCCAGGCAAGGCTGAGCTCTGTCCCATCCACGGGGTTTTTGTGTCAGGTCAGGGGGTGGTGGAGGTGTTGGCTGATTTTTTGGAGGAAAGAGGGGATTAAAAACCTTGGATGTGTCCAGCAGCTCAAGCTCAGGCCTCCAGTCCAGGATTGAGATTGAATTTCCCCMCTGAAATTGGTGCTAAAGCACCTGATCACCAGAGCAGGAACAACACAGCAACACCCTGGGAAATTCTCTCTTGGAATAGATCAGATTCTGCTCTAATTTGTGCAATTATAAATGCAGCGTGGCTCCATTCGAAATAACTGTTTTCATCCAATGCAAATAAGATCAAGATCTGGCCCAGGCTGCTTTTGTACACAATGGAAACGGAGTGAATTATGGAAAACAGGAAACAAACCGAATRGAAATCTGAATGGAAATACCATGCTCTCTGTTACATCAGAATAAATTGGAAGGGAGTTTGTTGATTCTAGTGGAATTCATCTGGATTTACACCAGGCTCAGCATTTGTCAGTTGGCTGCACACCGACATCAAAACTCCAACCATGCCACCTCATCTGAATAACTTTCAACATTTTCTCCCTTTTCCTTTTTATTTAAGCAGTTGCCTCTGCATCCTGATGGCTGATCAGCCTTTCCAAACAAATAAACCCCAGCAAACAGGCATCAAATAAGCCCAGTTCTCACTAGAATTTGCAGAATCTGAATGATGAATATGAAGCACTGAGCTTGGGTTTAGAGTCACTTAAACCTGCTCCTTCGTGGTCAGACTGAGAGCAGCAGGATTGAGCTCACAGAGCGGGGACTGATCTTAACAAAACCATTTCTGATTTCCCCCAAAGGAGGGAAATCCCAAAGGCAGATTCACAGGATTTACCCTTCAGTAGATCAGGAAAATATTGTCGTATTTTTTGTCAGGCAGATGCTGAGAGCGCAGCCAAAACCAGCCCTAATGGATCCAGTCAGGAATTTAATGAATTTAATAAGGAATTGTGTYATGCTCTCTTTCCACGGGCAAGTTTCTGTGCAGGGGAACATGGGAACCTGTGGSTGCTTTCCATGGGAAAGCAAGAGGGTTAATTAATGCCTGAGCAACAAATTTGACTCCCTGGGTGAAAGTCAGTGGAAAAACACAATATCTGAGCAAGAGCATAACCACATCTGCCTTCCCCTTGAATCCCGTGTACCCCAGCTTCTTACTTAATTCAGCTTTTCATCTGTGCTCATGTTTCTCTTCAGATAATTAGTAAAATCCATCTTAATTAAAACAAGAGGAGGAGAAGAAGACGCACAAACAAATGAAAGCGCCAAGTCAATGGGATTCAGGGCGGGGCAGAGCCAGTATTCAAATCCAAATCCAAATCTTGAGGCAAACATGATAATAAATTTGGGGAGAGKGTATGAAAGGTGAAGAGTTTTCTGAAAGTTGGATAACTGTTTGCCTGTACATTTTTTTGAAAGAATAGACTGCCTGGTGTCTGACCTGAAATCAGCCTTGTGGGGAGAAGAGCTGGAGGGGCTGTGTGCTCAGCACTCTTTGTTTTTCTCTTTTTCTGCCACTGATTTTTCCATGTGATCCTCAGGAAATTACCTGGGTGAGGTTTTCCCCAGTGGGCCCTGTCTGTGGTTGCTGTGATGTGCAGATTTCCAACCTGAAATGTGCCCGATCACCCTTTGCTGCACCATCAGCACCAGAGCAYGTGGATCCCAACCAGGAGCTGAACATGCCCCAGAGTCCTCATCTATAAATCGATATAAAAATACCTCCCTGATTTTATAAAGCTCTTAAAAGGCTCTCTAATGAGACAGAGGCTTTGAAAAACCTGTGATTATTATGGTTTACTGTTGCTTAGGCCTAATCCTAAATCTGTGCTACAAAGGAGAGCCCAAAATTCTACTCTGAGAGTTCCTGGAGCTCTGGTGCCCATTCCCTGGGAATCCTGGGCACCCTATGGGGACAGAGAAACCTTTCCCTGAGATCCATCCCACTCCTGGTGCTACAAAGGAGACTCCAAAATCCCACTATGAGTGTTCCTGGAGCTCTGGTGCCCATTCCTGGGGATCTTGGGCACCCTGTGGGGACAGAAAAACCTTTCCTGAGATCCAACCCAAGCCCTGACACAGCTCCAGCCGTTCCTGAGCTCCTGGCCCTGCCCCAGAGCAGATTTCAGCCCCTTCCCCTCCACCTCAGCCCCCCAAGAAGTCTCCCCTATTTTCTCTGCTTCATCCATCATCCAGGGGAAACAGCTAAAATCAAATTTCYGAGCTCCTTGGAGAATCTCAGCTGCATCACTGGGCTTTACTCACTCTCTGTAAACATCCCAAGTGCACATGAGAATAAAGAGAGWTCGAGGTGGGTGTAATGGGACCCCCAAATGGAGTCAGGAGAGAGGCACAATTAWGGGGACATTTTCTGCTCCAGCAATACAAGAAAATGGGGAGCGGTTATTTGGCGTTTATAGGAGCAAAACTCTTTAGGCAAGGGCCTTAAAAGTGGAAATAATTATAATTTACTGTCGGCACGGTGCAGTGGGGAATCAGGCCCRAGCTTGTAGCTGTAAATGCTGTGGATTGACTGTGCTGTGCAGAGTTTTACTGAGTCACATTGATTTCAGAGCTGCTTCCCCCAGGGAAAGGCACTGTTTTATTCCAGCATGGATGC